CCCCAAAACCCCAAAACCCCAAAACCCCAAAAAACTCTAATTCTAATATCCATGAGAAATGGCAAATATATGTAAACTTTAGAAGATAATACATCCCTTATCAATCTTCATGTCTTCCTTAGGAGGAACTGTAATTTTGGTCCCAACCCAAGCATTCTTTTTCGATGGCCGGGCTTGGACGTCAACTGACTTTTGAAGAACCTCTGATTGGATAGATACATCTTTGGGAGGAATCGTTCTGGCAGTAGAAGTAGATGTAGCTGTAAGAAATTTAGAATGAGAATAGGTATTTTAGACAGGGGGAAAGAAAGGGGTTTAAGAGATAGCAGTATTTTATAGAAGAGAAATTTTATTAGTTTTAGGTTGTTGGTGGAATAACTTAGGAGTTGACCAATTTTTAGAGAGAACAGCCTACCTTTGTTTTTATAGCTAGTCGTCAGATCTACTTTTGATTTTAGAAGATATAGTCCCATCAAAAATTTCGAATAGTGATGCCAGAATGAAACACTCAGTAGGAGGCTCACAAAAGTAGGGTTTTGGTTGATTAACATCAATGCAAACTTAAATGAGTCGAGATGCATTTTATGTGTCAACTTGAGCAATTTTTTCTCATAGAAATTTTCTATTTCTTTTAAATTTCTCTTAAGTCTTTCATTATCTTCGATGTCTTCTTCCCATCTGACCACAAAATCAGTTTGGGACTTAAAATCTTTGCAGGGACTATTTTTCTCTAATTTCTTTGCCTTCTTCTTACATTTGGAGGTAAGCTCAAAGACTTCCTTTGCGAACCTGTTCACTATAACTATAATAAGTTTAGCAAGTTTTAATTAAAAGAATTATCTCAGCTTGGCAAAATACAAGTCATGACAGTTTATTAGAAGACAAATTTATGAAAATTCAAGGGGTTGTATTAAATACCTGACATAATTCGTTTTTGACAGTCAAATGGATCTGTTGATCTAGAGGCGATAAGATTTCTACAGAAATATTCATTTATTGTGTTCCCTGAAGGTAAAATAGCTGGATTATCAAGGCTTTCAAACGATAGAGGACATTCATTCAAGGATTCTATTTTCTCAACGAGATATGTGAACATCTTCTTATAATCTCTCTGTGGAGCTACCAAAATCTGATCATAAGCTTTGAAGTACTTCTCCTTGATCTTATTTATTCTTCGTTTGATGTCCCTGAATAATGTCATAATAGGTTGAACATTTCGCCTTGTAATTCTCAAGTTCAGTCTTAACATTATGTAAGTCTTCTTTCAACTGCTGAGAAATATCAGTCTGATTCGATAAGTTTTGTATCACTTGGTTCCTCTCAAGAGTAGTGTTTCTGTAATAGTTAGAGATATGGGGAGGTAAATTAATTACCTTAATGCTAATTTAGAATCTTTGAGCTGAGTATCTAGGTCTCGAACCTTTAGTTCGAAACGTTGGATTTTGGCAATATTCGTTTGATTTCTATACGATAGTTACTGAAGCTTACTCTCTGCTTACTGCTTCTTCCCTGTTTTTATATTTTAATTTAACTCTAGCTCATTCTCGCTCCCAAGTAGTGTTTAAGCTACGAATTTTACTTTCATATTCTTCTTTAACCTGGTCATGCTTTTCCTCCCAAGTAGTGTTTATACTATTAAGTTGATTGAGAGCTTGGTCATATTGCTGTGATATTTCTTTATAATTTTGATAAGGCACAGTTTCGGGGATACTCTTTCTCTCTTCGTATTCTCCTCTTTTTCTATCTCTTATAATTTTTCTAAATTTCATGGATAAATTTTGAAGGAAAAATATAAATGAGATAAATTTAATGAAAATATTATTTCCTGATAATTAGCTAATTGAGCTTTCTAATTAGTAAGATTTAATTCAGAATTTAGAAATTTTTGTTTCCAATTAGTGCTCAGATTTTTGTTAAATTTAATACCTTCTTTCTATTTCCTCGTAAAGCTCTTCAATTTCTTCTTTTTCACTCAATGGGATTGGCTCATGAGGCTTTCTTCTTTCTTCTTCCGTATGAGCAAATGTACAATCACCCTGGTTACGTCACTTCTTTCCTTCTTTTATCCATTTGCATAGTGAAACTTTGTACATTCTTATTTCAGAATCTTTAGGAGGAACAAAAGTGGAAGGTCTAGACCCGTAGCCCATTTTCAGTGAACCCCTTGGTTTTCCCCTAAACCCTCTTCCACGTCCTCTTGGAGCTCCTCTCCCTCTCCCTCTATAATCAGGATTAGCTCTTGCTCTCTGGCTCCCATAATCCATGGCTAAATATTTAAAAATTCAATAAACAAGCTCCAATACGGGGTTTTGGGGTTTTGGGGTTTTGGGGTTTTGGGGTTTTGGGG